AGATGGGCCGAATGGCCCATAGACTGTCATTTCATGTTATGTTATGTTTCTCTTTGTGGTCTTATGCTGGGCATACTCTGTAATGTTCCGTTTTTTGTATTTTTCTACCCACTCAAGGGCCTCTCTATAATTTATCAAAGATTAACACTTTAATAAAATGTTTAGAGTGTTAGAGTGAGGTTAAGTTCGAAACTCTCACTCTCTAACACTCATTGCCGCCAGCTCTCTCTCTCTTCTCTTCCTCTCTTGTTTGTTTAGTTTCTGTTTGCATCTAATCTCAAACAGTTCCATACATCAAGTGAACTGTTTTTCAACTCCTATCAATGATTCGGCCAGATATAGCCTATGCTGCTGGTGTACTTAGTCAGTTTATGCATGCACCAACATCCTCTCATTTAGAGGCAGCTGAGAGGGTTCTCAGTTATCTGAAGAAGTACCTAGGAACTGGGTTGCTTTTCAAGAAACATGATCATATGAAAGTGGAAGTCTACATAGATACAGATTGGGTTGAGGCAGTTGATGACAGAAAATCAACTAGTGGATACAGTACCTTTGTTGGTGGAAACTTGGTTGCTTGGAGAAGCAAAAAACAAAGTGTTGTGACCAGATCTAGTGCTGAAGCCGAATATAGAGCCATGGTGCATGGAGTTGCTAAAGTACTATGGGTAAAGAATTTGATTGGAGAATTGGGTATCTCTGTTGATGGCCTAATGTCTCTCTACTGTGACAACAAGGCAACCGTTAATATTGTTGCCAATCCAGTTCATCATGACAGGACCAAGCATATTGAAGTTGACAAGCACTCCATAAGGGAGAAACTTGAAAAGGGGGAAGTCTGTACTCCCTACATCAGTTATGTTCTTACAAATGGCCTTCACTCTCTATAGAATAATGAACTGTGTGACAAGTTGGGCATGATTGACATATATGCTCCAACTTGAGGGGGAGTGTTGTAATGTGTAGCGGCCTGTGGCCTAGTAGGGACATTTCTGCCCTTTCCTCTTGTATTTTTTATGAGCTGTCGCCCTAAGTATATATACTAACTTAGGCACCGCCAGTTTTAGGATTGAGAATACAATCTTCTTTTTCTCTCTTCTCTCCTCTGTCGAACTACAGAATCTACTGGCATTTTCATAAGTATAGCCAACCTTTAAATTGGCTTAATTTCTGTTTTTTTCCCTAAAGTTGTTTTTATTCTTAGTAGAAGCCATAGAGAGTCTATAAAGAGTTTTGGTTGTGTTGAGAAGTCGTTAAGCATGGTTTCCGCATTATCTCTATGGACCAATGAGTCACAAGGGTTCTTTTTATTTCATGTATTGGTTATTAGGGTATTTGGGTGATTCTAGGTGACAGTGGAGCACCTAGTTGCCTAGCAGGTGCTTGGTGATGCCTTGACAACAGAATTTTACAAAGAAAAAACTAAATTAGAGGATAATTCCCTAATATTACATACCGATTAGCATGCATATAAATTGAAAAAATAACAATACTCTTTTCTATTAATATTTATATTCCTCTCAAAACATAGCAAATCATTGTATCTAAAAGACAGCAGCATTTTAAATCAATTAATTTCAAATTTCAAACATAGTGCTATAACATAATAATAAGTATTTAGTAGAATAGTTGTGTCAAAAAAAATATTAGTGATTAAAGAAGTTTATAATTTGCTAACAACATCTATTTCTTAACATTGTATATCATATTTAACCATCTTCATTCTCACTTTCTAACCTCTTTAGTTCAAAACTGCATAAAATTCTTGTTGTCACTTTAAAGTTGGTCTCTTGATATTTCATACTTCACCCATCACTGTGCATATTTTAGCAGGCCTTATTTCATCAGTCTAGCTCAAAAATATGCTGTACTTATCAAAAAGAAAATGCTGTATGTTTTTTCATATACCAGTTCCACTGGGTAAATTTGGTTAGTTTGTCCAAATATGCTACTACAAACAAGATGGCCTGCTCTCTTGTTCTCTCTACCTATCTTCTTTTCTTTTAGTGGTTCTGCTCTAACCTGTTACCAAATTTGGTTCTGCTTTCTCTTAATCATTCAGTGAGTGCTTTTCTTGTATACTTCGCATCAATGACTATGGTTTATTGTGTGTGTCCTGGTGTCTCCTGAACATTTCTTTAAAGCTTATGGACTAGAGAGGAGGTAATGATTTGCTGTTTGATACCATTTTATTGTGCAGAAAAGTAAGTTTTGACAGTTACTTGCAGATATGTTCTTGGATGTCTGAGTTGCCCATTTTATTTGTGGAGTAAGTTGTGCTGTATAGCACTTTCTAACTTATTGTACATTTGTAAGAAAAACTAAACCGTCTTGCTTTTCTCACCAAGTCCAACCAGCTGCCAGGCCTTAAAAACTTGCCTAAATCATCATCATCTAAGCCTTGTCCCAGCTATATAGGATTGGCTACATGAATCCTGTTTTACCATTCCATTCTGTTCAGTACCTAAATAACAATTTTATGTAGATTTTCCTAATTTGGATAGGCTTTGACTGAATTTTAGTGCAGTCTGACTATGAGAGGGAGGGGATGCAAGAAGGCTGATACTTCAGGGGGAGAAAGATTGAATAAGGGAGGTTGAACTTCCCAAGGGAAGAGGGTAGAGATGATAGCAGGCTGTGATCATTCCCCTGGGGAGGATGTTTGCATGGTTGATTATGGTTGTAGCCTAGTTTTTGATTTAGTGTTGGTGCATTGGTTGTGTTGTTGCTGCATCCTTTGGTTGGGCTTGGCCCCTGCTTGACTTGGCCTGCTTTTTATAAGCTTTCCCTGCTAGGTCACAAACTCACCTCATTACAAGTGTGCTGGGTTTGGATTTTGCTTTTAAGGATGGGCCAAATTGAACTTCAGTCAGGCTGGTCTCAATTATTTTCTAGCCTAATCATTCTCATTGGGGCTTCTGATAAGAAAGCACGGCTCTTGATAGAATGCAATTGCAGGATGGGATTTGGTAGCCAACCCCCAATAGTTGGGTTTAAGGCTGAGTTTAGTTGACTTTTGTTTTGCATAAAGCCTTTAGTACCATACTGTTCTATGGTTTCTTACTATAAAGCAATTGAAGTTGTTTGTATATTTAATGGGTTTTTTTTCACAGTCCACTGTGATAATTGTGCTTGACAGCTATTGTTTTATTAGGTTCATTTGGAAGGGTTTCTGCAGGTGCTTGGCAGCAAAGAAATAATAAATACAAAAAGGAATCTTTTGTTCCATGTTGATTCAATGTGGTCCATCAATGAAACCGTTAGTGGAATATTTACATGGTACTATCTTCTATATTGTTTTTGCAAGGACTCCTTTGAAAGCTCTTCACTCTGGCCACAATTGCCATTCTGTTTACTGCATCCGAAAATCACATAGAATTTGTCTTGTTACGTCTTATTTGGATATTTGGCAAGTTCCAATTCCTATAATCACGAAATTAGCAGCTGTGAGAGTTGATTAAAGAAAGAACAGATTTATGGTCTGGACTTCAACAATATGTATATCGAACATCCACTTTGCATGGAAAACCATATTGGTGTACGATGGAAGGAATTTACTCAACACAGTGGTATTCTTAATCCATCTAGAAATTGACTGTGATCTGTAATTCATGAGGAATAGGAAATTCTTACTTCTAAACAATGTGGGGGTGTGTTTTTATTGAGCACATCAGCAGATGGGATTGCTTGAGTTTATTCAAGTCTTGCTGCATTACCCCTTTTTATATTATTGACTATTTCTGTAGTACCATGTATCTTAAAATAACAGTGATTAAAGGATTTAAAATATGTTTTGATGCAATGCATGCATGTGTAAGAACATGCATATATGTCCAATATTTTAATTTATTTGCAACGTTTTTATGAGCACTAGGACTAAGTCATTTACTAATGAGGTGCTGAAATGTAAGAACACTCCATCTCTACCTAAGAGGGAAAAGGAGTATAACCAATATATTTCCAGGCTACCATAATATGATAATTTAAAGGAGCAAAATCAGACTCATCTTATTCTTTGGGGAATGGCCCCTCCAATCATTTCTTTCCAACTTCTGGCAGAAGATAAAACCAGACAGAACATAACAAACTATTTTCTGCATATCTGAAGTAAGGCAGCCATTTGTATTTAGAAAGAAAGAAGTGACTTCTAGTGCAGATTAATATATACTTTCAATGCTTCTTATTCATGTATATGTTTCATTTCAATGATCAAAATACTTCAATTTATCTTGGTGCTTTTTGGCAAAAATTTAAATGAAGGCATGACATCTAGAGTGAAGTGGATAACAGTACCACTACCATCTGCCTCTCCTCCTCTCCAGCATGCATTCATCCACATAATCATTTGCCTTTCATTTTTATCTTATTTATGGATATTTAAGAAACAGGCTCTATCAGCCCCAGAGTATGTTGAGTTCCATGGTCCTTACCCTTGTAATTCAATGGTTAATAAGTATATGGATATTGGCGTAGCAGAACATTATCAGTGCAAGTGTAGTAATTTGGATTTTGGAACTATATGATGATGATCTGTGGTGAAAAGGGTACAATCTGGGTTTTGGTCGATGCAAAATATATCAATGACATGCCTAATAAAAAAATATCAATGACATGGAAACAAAACAGTGTTTTACTATTCAACATCATCATCTCTAACAGTTCTAGCACACACACACACATTCTATGTTATGTATGATGTACTGAAAGAGCCCATAGATTTTACTTTCTTTCTTTTAAAGTTGATTTTACTCTTATCTTTTTGAAAGAGGGCTTTCCTTAAGGTGAAGTTTGAGGAAAATTGCTAGAGCCCTAACCTTTGAGCACATGCATCAGAGTCTGAGGTTCATGGATTCATGCCTCAAGACCACGAGTCTTTCTCTGTGTGTGTGTGCAATTTTCATATATGTTTAAAAGAACAATTTAATATCTTGACATAATTGACCCTTTAAAGCAATAGACTTTCTCTACTACATACCAAGGGATTTTAGAGCTTCCAGCCTGAAGTTTAATATCACTGGAAGTTTTGATTTCATTAGGCATTTTTCTGTGTAATTTCATTGGGAAATTTTTGAGAATTTTCAGACTTCTCGTAGAATGCTGGAGGACCTGAGGAAATTGGGAAATATTAAAAATATTACAAAGATTGTGCTCATAAAACTTAAAGATATGTTAAGAAAGTTATGACCACACGCAAACTTAAAAGAATAACAACCCACCATATACCACAGAAGATTAAAAACTTAATAGGAATCAATTGAAACATCTAATTATTTTCAGGCATGGTGGCATCCTTGAAAACCAATTTAGCTCTTACATATCCCAACTCCTTCACTTTGAGGTTCTTTAGAATAATCTCTATCTTAAATTGTGTGGCCAATGTGAGCTTGTCTTATATTGCTGGTTCCAAGCCCATATAAAGGGGGGGGGTAGATTAGAGAAGCATATCCTTGGGAAATAACCAGGGAACTGGATTTATCTTGATATTTGATTTGTAGCTGTGTTTCTATTCAAAAGTAACATTTTACATTTATGTCTTCATGGTCATGCTGGGATTACCACTTTGACTCAGATTCTTGAGCTTAGATGGCACCTGCAAGAATAAAGAAAGCATGAGAAGTGAAGTGGTAGAATCTGCTATTTGGGAGGTGAATGTGGAAGATAGCCCAAAAAACATACTCAACACCTAGGAAAAAGCTGGAAGCTAACATGGTTGATACCCCAAGTGGGGAGGGTCCTAACAAGGTTCTCCATTAGGAGATAGCAATACTGCAGGGGAAGTGAACATGGAAGCCTTACATAATGCCTGATGGTGTTATACAAACTGGTGGATTTGGAAAAAGTGATGATGCTAGTACCTTCCTGTTGTAATTGGTTCAACTGACTTTGAAGGTTCTCTTCATGATGCCTGGGATTATGACACACTGCAGGGAGAAATATGCCGTTTGGGTCTCAGGTGGAAAGATGCTGCAGAGACAGGGGGTTGATGCTGTTATTTCTTTAGCTTAAGTTACTGAGTTGTTATCTTTGTATATTAAACATAAAAATGAAACTCAGGCCCCCTTTGGTTCGCAGGAATAGGGGTCTGGAATCGGAATCCCATTCCCATTTATGCTGGAATGGCATTTGTCCATTTGAGGGAATGGCCATTCCCTACCCCTCCCTTGGGAATGAAATCCCATTCCTGCTAATTTCAATTCCCATTCCCATTCAATGTCTGAACCAAACAGACTATGGGAATAGTCCATTCCGATTCCAACTGTGAACCAAATGGACCATTCCGATTCCCATTCCCAGGTATGCTTGTGATGAATTTCTATATAAATAAGTTGGGCTGACTCTTATTCAGCTATTCGACTCTCTTATACAAATACTTGGTAAATTCTTGCCGACAGGTAGTATTACATTTCATTTTTGAAAGCATTAGGGAACAAGAAATCTAATCACTTCCTCGTAAATATCCTCATATTGGTGCTTACTCTACAATATGCTTTTTCAACTAACATGATAAACATTATTTACACATTGCAAATTTGATACTTTTTGAACCCCTTTGGAAGTCAACTTTAATTTCATATTTGGAACCTTTTGATCCGACGTGTCAACAAAATGTGAAGCAATATTGCAGCCTTCCCGTTTTGCACACCAGTTACAACTGTCATGGGGACCCATCAAGCTATGAATTTTAATTATTAGATATACAGTTGGTTCTTCTGGCCTATTTGTTGTACGGCCCCTTTCCATAATTAATAGCTGGTTAATGTGAGAGGGTCTGTCATGAGAAGGGAATAGCCTTTCGAAATATTTTCTGGCCTGGAGCTAGGATAGCCAAAGGGTCATAAGCAGATTTCCTCTGTACGAAGGTTTCCCAACGAGGGCCAAAGTGGGCTCGCCACTCTTCCTGGGTGGTGTAATGGGGCAGATACTGCTTAATTCCCAGACGGGCTGTTTCACAGAAGTCTAGAATTCTTTTGTTCTGGGTTAAAATGTGCTCTAAGCCATCAGTTCCTGTAGAAGAAGGCACGGCAGAAGAAAGAAATGCCACTAGGTAGAAAATATCTTCATTTGGAATGACTGTAGATGTTCTACTGTCCCACCTGCAAAAAGGGGAAGAAGAAGAAGAAGTGGGTTAAAAAGTTGGAATTTATGGGATTTTCATGGAGTAATGATTTGTTTTTAAGTCAGTTGTGGGTACTTGGATCTGTGAAGTGGATAGATGAGGACGGGGCCGTTGCTTGTGTCTGTAAGAATCTTGCCAAAGACCTCCTCAGCGAAGTCATGGATTCTGCTTCTAGGAATGAGAAGATTTAGCCATGGGTGTGGAACTTCCCACAACCCTTTCGATCGTAGTTTTATCTCAGACATATGCACTCTGTCCAGGAACTCCACATATGAGACTTCTGATGCGAAAAGCGTGGATGGAATGTAATTCAGTTGTGACAACAGACTCTCGACTTCCTGCAACCAGAGGACAGGGAGAAGAACTGAGGATCAGATAAGTGAGGAAACAATCATTATACATGCACTTCTGGAAGAATGATGTACTTTTTCAGTATCTCACCTGGTTCATGACATCAGTTTCATCTGGGTTGAAGTTTTTGGTCATTTCTAGACAGAAGAGAGTTCTTCCATCCGACTTGAATTGGCTGGCTTTAAGTGGGTCTTGGGGGTTAAAGAAAGATCTCCAGTTATTGAGGAGACCTGTTCTGTTTATTATCACGAAACCTTCGATGTAGTCGAATGTATTCTCAGCAGAAATTAGATACTCTTGGTCCCTAGTAAACATGGAGAAATCCGAGTACAGAACTCTAATCCATTTCACCTGAAAAAAGCCAAAAAACTGATGGATCAGTTGTATTACAAAAACGGGAGCGCAGGATATTCCAACTAACGTTTTAAAACACATTGCAGGAGATGGCCAGAAAAGGATATTCACTACTCATACCATCTTGGGTGCCGGTTCAAGGGCAATTCTAGCTCGGGCGATGATCCCGAACTGACCGAGTCCTCCAAGAACGCCATGAAACAAGTCTGCATTTTGCTTCTCCGAACAGCTCACTACTTCTCCTTTGCCTGCAGCCCAACCAGAAGGTTGGTGTCAATGCTGATGCTGGCTGCTAGAACAAGTTAAAAGATGTATTTGTCTTAGTTAAATGAAACAAACCTGTAACAACCTCCAGCTGGTAGACATTACTGATTTGGGGTCCATGCCGAAATGCCTGTCCACTGATTCCAGCATTGGACAAAGTGCCACCGACGGTGAGATGTAGGTAATCCGTCCAAGATTTTGGTGCCAGCCCGTATTTCAGGCTCTCATGCAGGATATTTATCCAGAGTTCTCCGCCAGAAACATCTACGTAGGGGAGCTCTCCGGTGTGAACCTGCATTTTTGGTTCCTGAAGCGACTCCATATTGATAACGACGCCTCCGTGGGCTTGAGCCTGCCCTTGGAGTGAATGTCCATGGCCTCTAGCTGCAATAGTGAGTTTTGAGCTAGGACCCAGTTGCAAGATATGCTTTATGGTTGTAGCAATATCTGAAACCGACTTTGGACGTAGAATTGCCGATGGTAGGAACTGGTATCGGTTGCCGAAGTCCCTGGCTGCATGGTGAAGTTCATCGAAGCTGAAATACCCATCAAGAGTCAGTGTTTTCAGTGAGGAGAGGATGTTGGGGGAATCGGAGCCGGAGACACTGGGAATGGTGAAAGGGAGGTTGGAGTAAAGATTAATTCTGGCAGTGATGCAGCTCAAGAACAAGACTGCCAAGCATCTTAGCAATAAAATGCTGTTTTGTTGAAGGAAACTGAAGAAGGGTAGCAGTAGTGATGAACTCATGCTTCTTCTAAGGAGATAGATGAGACAACAGAGTAGAGCTCCAAAGCTGTTTTTTATTGGTGAAGCTGAAGCAAAGCAAAAGGAGAGGTGTAGAAGAGCCAAGGAAACGAAAGGTAGAGGAGAGAATTTAAAGGGGAGAGGTTTGGAAATCTAGTCAACTCATCTTCAGTGGTGAGAGGAGTATTACCCAAAAAGAAAAGAACTAGAAAAAAAAAAAATCTTCAGTGGTGACTGGTGAGACTCCGTATGACGACTGCCTACTTGGGTGGGGCAATTTCAGGAATTTCCTTTTGGTTCTGCTTTTTGGGTTCTTTTTGTTTTATGGAACCATACAAGCCAAGTTGAAGTGTTTTGGAGAGAAAAAAGGCAAAATGGCCAAATACCAGAGTTAGTTGAATTTGGTGTTTTGGTCAGTCAGTCACTCGGTCGTAATCTTTCTTCCCATTTCCCACTGCAAGGACACGGCCACAGGGCCGGCCACAAGGCCACAAGGCCACACGGGTTCGCGTCAACTGCACACAACATGAGGACGTAGCCTGCTAATCGATTTCCAAGTACCTGAGCATGGATTTCCAAGTACCTGCTGAATGAATGAAAGTGATAAGAAAAAAAACTCAAAAAAGAAAAGGAAAAAGTTTCCCAGAAAGAGAGTTTCACATTTCCCACCCAAATTCTCACCTTTTCCATCAAAGACAAGCATGCCCTTTAATTTTTTCTAAGCACCCTCTGAAGTCTTGAGGTTGAGGATACTTTTGCCATTTTGGGAAAAGATGTATATTTCAAGGAGCAAAAGGACGATATTTTGGCGGCAAAGTTCTGGAAAATTACCTAGAGAACCTCTCCTTTTCTCAATATTTATGGCTATGTCCTCCATATACCAGATTCAGATGCGTATACTTTTTCTTTGATGAGCTCAAATCAGGTGCAAACAATGTCGTCAGGAGTAGTACATGAGGCATCGGTTTTCCAACCGGAGCAGAGTGATCGGCGGGCCGGCCCCCTCTCGTTTGCATGAGAAGAGAGTTAAGTGAGGTCATGGACTCATGGGCGAGGCAAAGGGGGGCCAGATCTGGTGGGTCAGTCTGGCACGTGGCTTTCATATGGGGTGTAACTGTGAGTGGGTGGGTGGGTGGAGGGGTAATGGAATGAAAGAAGGATATATTTTACTCATACCCTATAGAAGAGGGTGTGTAGGGGCCTAATGAGTTGGGTCTGTGTGAAGGCCTAACCAGGCAGAGAAGTGGATATGAGAGATGACAGTTTGAACTTTGAATGGAGGCTAGCTACTCTAATCTACATGCTACATTGGCCATAGAGCCACTTAGCTCCCAGCATTGAGACAGGCTAGCTAGAATGAAAAGTGCTTTGTGGAAATTGTTACTTCATTTTGGATTTGTTTACTGAGGTTTTGGTGTCCACCCTCTGGAAGTTTGAATTTGCAGCTTTTGTATGTGGGAAACCATCATCTTGAATACCTTTTGTTAGCAGAATTTGGCCTTAACCTCCCAAATTATGGACTAAAATACCTCCCCACCCCCACCCCACCATTGTGGTGAAGAACCAAATCTTGGTTAAAAGTCTTCTAGAAAGAAACCGACCATCAATAAAGAATTGGGTAAAGATAAAACAGGCCAGACAAAAACAAAGCAACACTTGTCCATATCAGCAGCTCTGCTGGCATTTTATAGGCAATGGTACTTGAGGAGAAACCAATAAAAATCTGTCAAGTGGGTGTGGTGCCATTAGGTTGATTGTGGGATCGCCACGTCATGATTGACACCGCCTTCGTCATCATACCATGGTGACTAAGGGTCTAGAGGGGTTGGTAGGACAAATTGATCTAGCATCCTCAAACCTATGAGACTATAAATAATCAAATTAATATAATCATGTCTCCTATCCCACTTACATTCCACTCCAATCATGTCCTTTTGTCTCTAGACACCCCAAAACTGCTCTTTTTTTACCTTGTTCTCATTGGTCATTTCTTTTATCCTCAAGGATTCCTTCCATCAAGTTGCTTAAAGCAAATTAGTGCCTGTAAATTAAACCTTCTCTTTCCTCTTTCTCTCTCTCTCTATGAGCCTTCCGCAAACGGTTCCTCTGTTATACTAGTTCATTAGATTTTCTCATGCAATAAGTTAAGAACTAGAGAGAATAACTGGGCAAATCTTGGACTGGTTGTAAAGGAGGGTTAAACATCATGTAACAATGAGAATATTGGAGAGAGAATCACTGTGGGAAAGTAAAGAAAGAATGACCCAATGCAAATTGCATTAGAAGATGAAGCTATGTTCCCATCTCATAGACAGTATTTACTGTAGATAGCTTTGGGTAAATGACCCATCTCTTAAAGGGACCCACCTTTAAAATCTCCTATACCATGTCAGATGACAGTGAAGTGCCAGTTCAAGGCCTTGTTTTGGATGGTGAAAAAAATGGGAAAAAAGGGTGATGATTTCTAAAATAATTCTTGTTGGATTATAGGCTGTCAATGAGTGGAGCTGAGCCAAGCTTTACGTAGCTTGGTTGGGGTTGGGGCCCGTCCCTTGGTCGGGCTTGGGTGCTCAGGCTTAGCAGTTGGCTCAGGTCATCAAGAGTCTAAGGAGAGCCAAATGCCCGTCTGTCATTAAGCTTGTTTAGCTAAATGAGCTTAATTTGAGGCTCAGGCTCGACTGGGATGCTGTAAAATTATATTCAGCCCAGGTTCAGTTGACAATTCTAGTCTTTTGATTGTCAAAATTTACCAAACTTTCCGAGCTGTAAGCTTTTTAAAGATAGTGTTCGTTGAAAGGAGAGACCGTTGGCATTTCTCTTGACGGGGACCGGAATAGCCTTGGGGCTTAACTGACAACATACAAACTTGTTATGGGTAGGGGCCCTCAAAATACGATTCTCAACCCACTGAAATATGCATGCCTTATATGATATATTTTATTACTAAAAAAAATCAGATACCATAAACTATCTCTGTTTTTTTGGTCCGTGAGCTGAGGGCTCAGAGAGGCCCATGCATTTATCTAGCTGAGTTCATGCTTTTGATTAAAAGGAAAAAAATACCATAAACAATTAATAATCTGGCTAAAAGGGGGAGTGTATGATAGATTATTCCTGTAGCTTAGTAATGGGATCTATACTCCTTTGCAACCATTTTAGTGGCTGCACAAAAGGATCGGATAGTGTCCTTTGTGTGGCAAATTTCAGTGTAAAAAAAAATGCTTTGCTATCTATGGAGGAAAAGAAATTTGTTCAATGTTTAATTGGAGTCCGGATCTGTTTTTCATACAGCGCACCTCACACCGACCTCACAGTCACATCCCACTATGCATCGAGAACGTATCATCCCGTATTTATATATTATTATTATTATTATTCATGAGATATGTTCCCAATTCGTTTAATTGACTGTTCTAAACATATCATGTAAGAGTATAATCTTGTTACTACCCTTTGTTATCTATGTGCTTTTCGGATCTTATGCATGCATTGAGTGGGTTAGAGGAGGAATTTTGGACTTCTTGTTGGGACTGGTTTGGGGGGACGCATTGTGTAGCTTCTGTACTACCAGATTTTGACTACTGTAGGAAATCTAATATCCATAATTATATAATTTTGTTAATCTGAAGCATTCCATGTTGGAGATTTTTAACACAAAAAATGGTCAAGAAGCAATTATAGAACACTTGAAAACAAGCTATACTTATTTGATTATTAGAGGCTAATTATTCAAACAGTTTGTGTGTTTAGTATATCTCCTACATGGGTTTTAATATTATATTTTGTTTAGAAAGATTTTGCTACCATTTTTCTCTAGCAAACTTTCACTAAATACAAGGGTTACTGAATGCTTTCTCTTTTGCCTAGATTAAAAAAAATGCAAAGCTTTAAGGAGTATAAACTATAAAGTGGAGCTCAACACCCCTCCAAAAAAGAAAAAAAAAGGAAAATAAAGAAAGGGGAAAAAGCTGAAGTAGATTGGCTACCAAACAAGTTCCTTACTCTAGAGGACCACTCATTTGACAGGCTATGATTCACAATGTCATTGTTCCATGTGGTCAATTAAATCTTCCTCTCAAGGGAAACAGGACAAATTTACGGTTTGAGTGTTGCAGATGCAAGAGTCTAGTACTCTAATGCACGAGCCCAATGAGAGGACAAATGCCATAGTTTTACTGGTTAGAATATGAAAGGGCCATTTTGTTCAGTGGAGCTAGACAACAGAAACTACTTTCTTCCAATTAGTAATTGATCCATGGGCTGAGCTTAGATCAATTCATAATATACCTGAGGAAAAAGGAAGAAAAAAAACCATGTCGTATGTACTTAAAATTCATCAACCACTAAATCATGAAGTTTATCACCCCCCCTTAAAATTTTCTTTTTCTTTGTTAAGGGGCCTTATAAAAGTAGAGCAACCCATTTCATATAATCATATTATGTTACCAACAATGACATGTGCTTATACTACCCTTTGTGCTCCTCCTACCACAAAGTCAATAACACTACTTAGAAAAAATTAGCACCCTAGATTTTCTTTCTTCAAGGGATCTAGACTTAATACAATTTAGTTTCATTTATGCCAACTTGTTCAGTTGTTCTCATCATTCATGACATATATAGAAAAACAAATTTGATAGGCTACTTTAAAAAAAGAAAAGAAACCAATGGAAGTGAGTAATAAAATAGACCCATTTCGCATGCAAATCACACACATACAAAAAGGGAGAAGAAATAAATAAATAAATAAAAAGAAACAGGTAATGATTCAGTGAGAGCCATTGTGCTGAGTAATTGTGTGATCCCTACTGTGTTGATCACTCATTTGCCCCTTTAATTTTGATGGGGTTTCAAGGGAAGTTTCTGTTCTTATGGAGCTTTCATTTCTAATTGCAACACGTGTAAGTTATGACTTGCTTTTTAAAGTCATTTTCTGAAGATTATTACAGGAATAATACACAAGTGGTTACCCACACACAAGTCTCAAATTGAGAGGCTAAAACTAATAAGCATCTTTAGTTTTTGTAAGCATATTTAATCACAGAGCTTTTCCCAAGGCTTCTAGTGACTGTTGAATCTATATTCTGGACTTCTGGTAGTCTAACTTCTTAGACTCACCAGCGTCTCCTTCTCAATCCAAACAATAATCTATTATGGGTTGAATGTTCTGTCATTTTCTTGCCACATACGCGTATTTGGGAACCCATGTGCTACCCATAGATTGGTTAGGTCGATGACCAATTACCATTGTTGGAACATGAAAGGGACTCTTGAAAATTACAGATATGGTGGTAAACCCTTTATGAATGAAATTAGTCTAGAAGTTTTGAATTTGGGTGTCCTTTGGTGAGGACCAATTTGTATTAACCACTGCAACCCTTTTAGAAACCAACTCTGTGACTCTGGTTACACAAGGCTTCAAATGGCTGCTTTGTTAGAGTCCTGAAATCCAATATATGCCTAACTATATCTTACTTTCTTTGAAAGAAATGCTTTAATCTCTTTCCAGTTATGTTTTCTAGACCTCTTTTTCTTTCTTTAGTGAAAAAGAAGATGCCAAAGTCTGCTGTTTGCACAACATAGGTTTTGGTTCTGGTTGAAGTTGAACATTACTTTAATTTCTTGTGTGAATTGTGTGGCCGACTTCCTCTGAATAACATGACATAAAGAATAATCTTTTTGACGACCCTTTGTTATCTTTGAATCTTGAAGATAACTAAGGTCTGTCAAGGTAGAGGAAAGGTGCAGCGCAATGTGGGAATGGGTTGATTTAGACGAGGGAATTAAACATGTTACTGATTCGAAGGACTCTTTTAGCAGATGTAAGGTTTAGATCTTTCATGTCTTCCCCACCTTGTGGAAGAAAAATAAAAATAGAGTGCCTTTCACCTTAATAAAGCAATACATAGAAAAATAAATACCATTCTTAGTTTCTAGATGACTATTATTATTAGATTGTTGTTGTTGTTGTTATTGTTGCCATTCGTGGTTAATGACTACTATTCTTATCATGCTTGTCAGTATCACATCATTAAAATTAT